TTGCATTTAGTTAGAGATCAGGTGTTGCAAAAGGAGGAGTTGGGACTGGGGTGTTTGTTAGGAGATGCCTGTAGATTTCTGCCTGGGCTGATAAGCGAATAGCCTCCATTGCCTGCATCACCTGTGTGTCTGTAGACACATTCGCTGGCCATGAGCCATTTACATGCTGCATTTCTGCCATTCTGGCATTTCCACATTCAGCCCAGGTGGAGGATGTGCCTGGCAGAGGAGCAGCTGGGGACGTGAGGTGACACACTTGAACCATCTCCATCATGCAGGATTGATTTCCCATGCTGCAAGGAGAACAGGGCTGTGAGAACAGTAACTTAAGCCAGTGATTAGGAGTGTAAAAATGTATATAACGTTGCTGGTTTTGCTCTTCAGGCACAGAAGGTGGGAGGGAGAATAGACAGAGATAAAGAAAAAGGTACATCCTTTTAAGGCTGAGTTACTGGAGTCAGACAATGTTTTAGATTATTTATACTGTGATCTGCCAGCTTTGAAAGCCTTCCAGGTGCTGTAGCACTCTACTGTTGATGTCAGTACCACAGTCACCTCTCTTTGTAATTTCCTTTGTCATTAGTGATTTTTAAGGAATGTGCTGTCCTTTAGAGATGCGGTCTGAAAGCAATTTTGGAAACAGGAATGCTGTTTGTGTAACATACCCCCACAGCAGTTATATTTATTTAATTTGAAATTAATCAACTGGGCTTCAGTGCTGTCACACCTGGGTGACTTTCGAAACAGTTTGTATAAGCAACTGTCTGCCCACACTCAACACAGTCTAGTATCTTTGTATCTGCAAAGATTGTTGTTTGTTTTCTAAAGTACCTGAGTTTTCATCTGAATTGCTACAGTCTGTTCTTAAAAACTTCTTATGATGGACATTTTCCAATTCCCTAGGTAACCTATCCCAGGGCTTTCTATTTACTTTGCTTTTCCTACAATCCTGTCTAAAATTTTCTTGCTATAAATTAAGCTGATTTCTTCTTGCCCTTCCCAAGGTTCTGGAGACCAGTTGCTACCCCTTTTGCAAATATTGGAAAATCATTATCATGTTCCTCTCATTCTTCTCTCTTCTAGACTAAACAAATTCATTTCCTTCCACCTTTCTTTACAGGTCATGTTTTCAAAACCTCTTTATCATTCATTTTATTCTCTTTGCACATGCTCCAGTTAGTCTATTATCTTCCTTAAAACGTGCTACCCCATACTGAGTGGATGGAATGTCCCACTACAGGGCAAATCTCTTCTGAATCCTTATCAACTTATGACATCCTGTTTTGAGTTGTAGTCTGTGCAGCCAGACAAAGCGTTCCCAAAAATGATTTGCCTTTTCAGCTATGTCGTCTTTAGTGATATTCAGGCCAAATCTCAGGGCACCATTAGATGGGCTCTTTGTCTTCAGTTCAGAGTCCCTCCACTGGGTCTCAGTATGCTGAGTTTAGTTTGCACAAAGCAAATCAGAATGGCTGAAACCAAAACAGAAAAGGATATGTGGCTTAGTCCCTCTCTCTGCCCAAGTTCTCCCATTCATGGAAAAAAAATAAAGAGAGGGAGAAAAATATATCCTGTACATACTAAACAGCCCCCATACCTGCCTCATAAGATCTTACAGCCCTTCAAAATATTTGCTTAATCTCCCAGTATCTTGGCAGGGTACACAGGTATTAGCACTCGCAGGTGTTCTTATCCATTGATCTCAAAATATTCTCCTCCTTGTTTTAAACATGGGGAGACTGAAGTGTTTGGAGGCTCAGTTTTCATAGGCAACAAAGATCCCCTGCTCCGTTTAAAGTCAGTGGAAAATGTAGGTTGGAAGCCAACTGGAGAATTGGGCTTTAAGTGACACGCTGAGGTCCCCTTGAAAGTTAATACCGGAGCCAGGAGTAAGAGCCCAGGTTTCCTGAGTCTGTCTCGAGTCCGATGAGCAGAACCAGGCTGTCTCCCTCTCAGTCGTTTAAACACACCAAGTGCAGCTGCGTGGTCAAACCTGTGCTCTATTTCCCCACGTAAAACCTACGTGGTTGTGGCAGGCATCACTGCGTTCTGGAGAAGAGTCGCGTTGATCACAGTTTGCTCACTAACTAGAAATCTTGTTCATCTAGTATTTGGTTGCAAGTTGCATAGCTGAAAAGCCCGTTAAAGAAAACAAATAGCACCTGCGCCAAGCCCTGCCGTACTCCAGCAGTAAAAGATATTAATAGTTTCCAGCTCTGTATTTTGCACGTTGGCTTGCCAAAGCTCACCTGCTCTATGTGAGACGGGAGGCTGCTCAATGCTGGTTGCTGAACAAAAGGCTGGTCTGTAAAAGACAAATCTGGGGGAATTTTTTAAATTCCAAAAATAGACAGGGGGAAAAAATGTGCCAGCAAGATGGATCTCATTTCATTTCCCAAATCCCTCTGGTCTCCAGAGTTCATTCTTTGCTCTTAATGTTTCATGCTATGGCTTATTTTAGTCTCCTTAGTGGAAAGTTTAAAACATTTACTTAAAGGCAAAGCTTCAGCTGGCATAAACTGTCACAGCTCCCTTGGCTTGAGTTGCCTTCAGCAGAGGAGCTGCCCTTTAGCATTTAAAGTGCTTATTAGAAAGTGGAAAACTGCGTTGCTTGAAATTATCTGCAAAAACTAAAGAGAAAGGAATATAAAGGAAGGGGGCACGGTGTGGATTTCGACTGAGAAACAGTCTTTCCACATGGACAGGTGCAAATAGGGGGCAATCCTGACACACACTACTCTTCAAGTCTTTCCTCAGATGTCCCTCCAAAGCAGCTGCTGGTGCCCCCCCCCCCCACACCCCCACA